CTTTTATTCCTGGAAAGATATTTTTTGGTATCTTTTATCGCCAACATATTCCCGGGCAGCAATCCCCAGCCCTTCAACCTGTGTTTTTCTGGTGACACCAGCCAGTCCCATCTCAGAAAGGGTCTCCTCCTTCCCAGGTCTCCCCAGCTGCTCTGCTCCATGTTTGCAGCGGGCAGCGAACGCACACATCCAGCCCCATCACCCTCACCAAAACCGTATCGGACCCCTGTGCCCCTTGGGGTTGTGCCCTCGTGGAGGTGACACCATTTTGTCCTCCAGAGACGCTCACCCAGGTTGTCCCCAGGTTGTAACGCAGCGTTCGGTGGCCCAAGAGATGGCATCTCCTCAGGAGCTTGGCAGAACAGGAGATCTGCATGGGTAGGGTTGTCAGAACAAGTGAAATTTGGAGCTCACAGATGAGCATTTTATTAAAATTAGGTCAGCAGAGTGTAACGGAGCCACTTCGGTTGCCGGCGGTGTAATCATCCCCTCAGGCTCCTGGTTTCAGATGCCCAGACATATTAAATTACCCTTAACTCTGCCCACGCGTCCTCATCCACCACGAGGGCTTCGCAAGGAGCCTGCCCCGCTGAGCCGTGGTTTACGGCTCATTTCTAGTGATTTCTGGTGTTGGCCCAAACCCGCTGCGCGTCGGCATCTACCAAAGGGCTGCAGAGACCAAGGGCAACCTGGCACCTTGACGGCAGTTTTGGGATGTCCACGCTTGGCCACCCAACGCAAGGATGGGATGGGGTGTCTGAGCCCAAGGTCTCAGTTTCCTCCAACCAAAAGTGCTCAAAAAAGTGGAGTTATGGGATAACAGCAGCATAAAAACAATGGAGAGATGCGCCATAATTAATTATTCTTGGTGGATGAGGCGGTCCAACACCTGTTGACGAACCACGACACCGGTGGAGACGTGGCAGAGCTTTTTGGTGGCATGAGAAGGAAACAAAAATTGTTTGGCGAGATCTTGCCCATTGATTTGTCTTCCCTCCCTTATTTTGGGAAATTTGTGGCTGATGTCCACCAAGAAAGGACGTGCGGAAGGGCGGGGGAAGGAAAAAGATGGGGAGAAAAAAGCAATAATGAAAAATAACCAGAAAAAAGCCCCCCATGACATTTATGTATGGAGAAATCACCTGGAAAAAGCTAAGCACAGGGATTATTTTTTTTCACTCCCAAATGCTCCGTGTGCAGGATGGGGGTGCCGGGGAGCAGCGGGAGGGACACAGCCCCGGGATGCCGGGGCGCACCGATGCCCACGGATGCCCGTGTTGGGGCAGGGGGAGGCAAGAACAAAAACAGGTCAACTGGGCGCACAAATGGGTACTGGGGGTGTTGAGGGGTTCCCCCCAGCATCCCCGCTCCGTCTGCCACTGCCCACCTCCTGCTTGGCAGTGCTGGGACCAGTCAGGCCCTCTGCCAGCTGCCCTGGAGAAGGCTGGGGATGGGGGGAGGGGAGGCCAAAAATACACACTTCCAACCGCCGCCGAGTTGAATTTTCACGTCGTGCTCTGCCTCCCACACAAAATAAAGCCCCGCACAGCCCCGCACACCTATATACGCGCGGAAACAGTGGCCAAGAAACACCAAAGCCTTCCCGGAGATGCCAGCGATGGCTCCTGCTGGATGCCACGGCAGAAGGGGCTTGGGTGGGATCGGGGAGCCCAGGGGCAGGATTAGTGCTGTGCTTGGGGCTGGGCAGCCCTTGAGCTGGGTAGGATTAATGACTTGGAGGTGGGCGATGAGCGTCTTGCATCCGAAACCTCCGCAAGGTCATTAGATGGAGACCACGGTCCATGGGAGCTGGAGAAGGAAGGAGGTCTTTCCTCTGTTCCTTCCCCTTCCAGCCCTGCCCATGGCTTGAGTGTCAACAACGACATTACATCGATTATTTTTAATTTTTAAGGGCTTGTTTTAGTCATGCCCTGTGTGAGGTCTGTCCCCTGTGGTGTGGCGGGGCCACAACCCCGTCCCCAAGCCACCAGTGGTCTTGAAATACTCAACACCTTGCAAGAGATGGAGGACTGGGGATTGAGCCCACCGGCATCCCAGCCAGGGCAAGGGGTGACAGCGCTGTCCCCGCAGCCCCCCCATCTTCCTGTGCATTTTGTCCCACGACCTTGGGACACTCTTCACCCCCTGCCTCAGTTTCCCCACCCGCGGAGCCGCCTTTTCGAGGGGGAGGAGGTGGCCATCACTGGTGGCTCCCCATGGTCAAGTGTGAGGGACCAAGGGACACCACGTGCATGGGGATTTGGGGTGACACTCATGGTCCCAGGGGACAAGGCAGACCCCAGGGCCACCCCATCCCACCACACCGAGCACCCGGGGGCACCCAAGGCCTCACCGCCTGCTTGGGACCCATGGGTGCTGTGCCTCAGGGTGGGCTTTGGTCTCTACCGAGGGGGTTCCAGAGCAGCTCCACTCAGGCTGAGACCTCCCAACTCATCACACCGATGGTGCCCCGGGAAAAAGGTAGAGATTTTGGGCTGCGGCGTTATTTTACGGAGCAAAAACAAGAGGGCCCCACGCGGCGGCTCCTCTCTGCCCATCCGTCTGTCCGTCTGTCCGCAGGTGGTGAGCCAGATCGACCGACTGACGTCCGACTTCGAGTTCGAGCTGGAGCCGGACGACTGGACGACGGCGACGGCCAGCAGCACCTCCAGCAGCGAGAAGGGGGGAGGCGCCTTCGAGCTGGGACCCCTCGATTTCGCCGCCTCCGACATCCTCTCCGACAGCTGGGAATTCTGCTCCTTCCTGGATGCTTCCACCCCCTCCGACCCCGGCGACGGTCCCGACCCCCCTCGGCCGCAGCCGCCGCCCCCGCCGG